GGGTAACAAGATAAAGAGAACTCCCACCAAGCAGACGGCAAGCGAACATACCCCGAAGAGGCATCGGGACGAGCTATCTCCGCCAGGAAATTCCCAACCGGGGAAAAAATCAAAAATGCCGCAAACCCCCATCGATGAGATGGGTGCGATCCTGGAAGACCTATTGGTTAAGGTGAACGACCAAAAGGTTAGAAGCATAAACCAGGCCATGAAGAACTCTTTCGCGAGACTAGGTGAGGCCTAGGTGCGGTTGTAGCGGGGAAGCACCGGGCTGCGGCAGTTCACGGGTAGAGGAAGCTACCCAGACAACACCGGAGCGAGCCCCGTACAGCCAAGTTGCTAGAACGAAGCGCCCACGGGTAATGCCACCCTGTGCCGAGTGGAGCAAGTGAACCTGCAGGCTCTACGCCAGTCCAGGAAATATGCCCCCAGGAAATAGTGGAAATCGCTAAAGCTATACAAGTCGGAAAAGCTCCCGGACCAGATGGAATCCCAGACAGCGCGATTAAACTGGCGATGACTGCGAGCCCTGACCGGTTCGCCAGCGCCTTCAACGCAAGCTTAACTGAGGGCATATTCCCTAAAAGGTGGAAAATACAAAGCCTGGTGTTGCTCCCAAAGCCAGGCAAGCCGCTGGAAATACCGTCGTCCTTAAGGCCGATTTGCCTCATCGACCACGCCGGCAAAGCCCTAGGGCGCTGCATATGCCGGAGGCTCCAGGAGGCAGTAATCCGCGCGGGAGATCTCTCCCCACTACAATATGGGTTCAGGGAACACCGCTCCACGGTCGACGCAATATCCCTGGTCAAGAGGATAGCAGCCAAGGCAATCGAGGGGACCAGATGGGCGGGCGGAAGCAAGGAGTACTGCCTGATCGCCACTTTGGACATCAAAAATGCCTTTAATACTGCCAGATGGGACGCTGCGAAATCTCCGTGTGCCGACTGGCATAGTGGAGGTCATAAGGTCGTACCTCAGCGACCGCACTATTAGGTATGAGACGACCTCAGGCATCAGAGAACACGCGGCCACCTGCGACGTCCCCCAAGGCTCAGTCTTAGGCCCAGCCCTTTGGAACGTGATGTACGACGGAGTTCTCAGGCTAGAGCTCCCGGAACGGACACACCTTGTCGGTTTCGCGGATGACATCGCGGTAGTGGTCGTCGCCAAGACCATCAAGGAAGCTGAGGATTGCAATGCTGCAATCGTGAAGGTCATCGGCTGGCTCAATCAGGCAGGGCTAAGCCTTGCCCACCACAAGACGGAGGCTGTCCTGATTTCAAGCAGGAAGCGGGTGGAGACGGCCACAATCAATATAGGCGGACATGTGGTCATGTGGGAGTAACGCTGGACACGAGGCTTAGCTTCAAGGAGCACCTTGTAGAAGCAAATCGCAAGGCAGCGAATGTCGCCAGAGCACTATCGAGGATTATGCTCAATTGTAGGGGCCCGAAGCAAGGTCGGAGACTACTGCTTCAGACCGTCTGCAGCGCAACAATGCTATACGCAGCCCCAGTGTGGGCGGAGGCAGCCACAAAAAGGTCGTACACCAAAGGATTGACCAGCACTTACAGGCTTTGCGCCTTAAGGGTGTGCTCGGGCTTCCGCACGATATCGGAGGATGCAGCGCTCGTCATCGCAGGCATGGTACCAATCGACCTGCTCGCGGCGGAGCGGCAAGATTTACACCAGGCCCTAGCAGCGCTAAACGGGCAAGCCCCGGCAGCGATACGCCGCCGGCAAAAAGAGGCCTCGAGAGCCATGACCGTACAGAAGTGGCAACAACGATGGGACGAGTCGACCAAGGGACGCTGGACCAACCAACTATTCCCCGACCTTAAGAAATGGCTCAAAAGAAGTCACGGGGAGGTAAACTTCTGGCTCACGCAGGTTATCAGCGGCCACGGATGCTTCAGGAGCTACCTGTTCAAATTTGGACACGACGACGACCCAAGATGCCCGGAATGCGGGGTGGACGAGACGGCAGAACACGTGGTTCTGGACTGCCCACGCTTTTCAGTCCCCAGGAGGAGACTCCTGGCGGACTGATCGACGGTGGACCTCATTGGAAGGAGGTTGCTGGAGGACGCCCAGTTCTGGGCAGGCATGAGCAGCTTTGCCGCCTTAATGATGAAGGAGCTGAGACGGCTAGAAAGGAACCGAGCGGAGGCTAGGCTAGCCTAGACAAACAAAAGCAGTTGGGCGCTTAGGCACGCCAATCCTGGCCCTGCGACGCAAAGCCTAGCGGCATTACCGCAGGGTTACAGGAACTTAGGAGACACCTCATTGTTAGAGCTTAGTTTCAAGTTATTTTTTGTTAATAAACGATTTAAAAAAAAAAAATATTTGCATGGCCGCTATGAAATACATTTTGTTAGCTTTAAGTTTCAGTTTTTATCAGAACCTCAAAGAATAAAGAGCATTGAAATCAAATCTCCGTCACAGCCATTAAATAGTAAACTCATTTTAGTGAATTGGTCACCGCGCCTTAAGGGCCGTGATAACAGAGCAAGTGCTCCCATCGTAATTCCTATTAAGAAGGAAGAAACGCCTCGGCAACCGCCAGGGTCCATACGCATCCCCTACGCCTGTGACGACTCCGCCATCAGCGAGGGATAATCCAAACACATTATTACACACCCATAACTCAATCACTCCCTACACCTGCGACGACTCCTCCATCAGCGAGGGATAACCCAAGCATACCATTACACACCCATATTTTAATTTACTTATATATGTCAGAGATAAGTTAAATTTAATGATTAATTATAAGTTCTCAGTATATAGTTAAATAAGAAATAAATTAGCTTTCCAAATGAAAACATTGAAGCTTTTGGAATAGAGCGCGGTGGGGAAAGAGAGTAAAGCCCTGCTGAGTGTGGCGAAAATTATTACGACTCGCTGCGCGTTGTGAAATAGAAAAATTACCGATTGGAAAACAAGTACAATTGAAAATTAAATCCCGTTTGTATGGGAAATGGTAACCGAATATGTATATTGGTATATCTGGTTCGTGTATATTGTATATCACCTAAGTACTTGCACTAAATGTGAACTTTGCATTAGTGTGGTAGGAACGCGTGTTATTATATCCAGTTGAAATTTTTTCGTTATATCCGGCAAAATGTTGGCAAACAAACTTTACCTACATACGTGGGCATTGTAGGAGACTCCATGCCAAATCCTATTGCTCTATCCCTTATAGTCTCTGAGATTCACACGTTCATACGGACTGACAGACGATCATGGCTATATCGACTCGGGTGTTGATGCTGATTAAAAATATATATATCTTAAGGGGTCGGATGTGATTCCTTTCCTATGTTACACACATTCACACCACTACAATATACACTTGTACTCTACGAGTATGAGGCTATAAAAACTTCGATTAAGCTTTCCGTTGCTGTTTATTAACATGTCTAGTAGTCTAAAATAGAATCTGTACGAAGTTGGGTCATTTCCGATTGTTCAGTTGTATGGCAGCTATACGATATAGTCGGCCGATCCTTATGTTGGAATTTGGTATGTCGTATTGTTTGACCAAAAATAGCATTTATACGAAATCTGAACTCCAAAGTTATAGCCATTTCGATCAATCAGTTATATGGCAGCTATAAGATATAGTCGGCCGATCCCGGCCGTTCCGACTTACGTACTGCGTGCAGTAAAGGGTCGAAGGGAAAAAAGGGGGTGTGCAAAGTTTCAAGTCGATAGCTTCAAAACTGAGAAACTAGTTCGCGTAGAAACAGACAGACAGACGGACATGCTCACATCAACTCAGGAGGTGATCCTGATCAAGAATTTATAAGTTGACAGAAGTTAACGGAGCAGCGGCAATGTCAGGTTATTTAAGAACTCGCTCTGGCCAAACTGCTGACACAGCGTCTGGCCGGATGCCCATACAGAGCGGCGAGCACTGCATATTTGCGTGGCCGCTATGAAATATGAAATCAAATCTCCGGCACAGCAATTCGGTGACCGAATTGGTCACCGCGCCTTAAGGGCCGTGATAATGGAGCAAGTGCTCCCATCGTAATTCCTATTAAGAAGGAGGAAACCCTCGGCAACTGCCAGGGTACATACGCATCCCCTCCGCCTGTGACGACTCCGCCATCAGCGAGGGATAATCCAAACACACCATTACACACCCATAACTCAATCACTCCCTACACCTGCGACGACTCTTCATCAGCGAGGAATAACCCAAGAATTCCATTACACACCCATATTTTAATTTATTTATATATGTCAGAGACAAGTTGAATTTAATGATTAACTATAAGTTTTCAGTATATAGTTTAATAAGAAATTAATGAGCTTTCCAAATGAAGAGAGAGAAGCTTTTGAATGAGAGCGCGGTGGGGTAAGAGTAAAGCCCTGCTGAGTGTGGCGCAATGATGGAGAGGAGGAAGAGGAGCAAAGCAATCAAGAACAGCGCTCAGGAGTGAACGGACGTAAAGAAAATCATTGCGACTCGCTGCGCGTTGTAAAATGGAAAAATGACAGATGAAATCGCTCAACATTCCCCGACATATATGTACTTTATAGGGTCGGAAATGTCTGTTTCACTGCGTTGCACACTTTTGGACAAAATTATACTACCCTATGAAATGGTATAAAAATATAATGATAAATAAATTAACATTTATGGGTGTTCTCTCTACTGGGCCATACATGGGATATAAAGTAAGTAGTTTGTTTGATGACCCATACATAGTGTGTGTGGTACTTTTTCAATAGTAATATAGGAGACAAATAGACAAATTCGGCATTTAAACCCATTTTTGGACATTTCATACAAAATTGAAAATGCATTGCGAACCATAGTTGGTGGTCTGTTAGTAGTCGCTTTTCATCAGTTCTTAACTAATGCCATTAGTTACTTAAGGAACTATTAATTGTTCAATAATTTTTATACAATACTCAATAATAATGTATTTTTTTTAAATGCGTAAGGGACGTAGGACTTACGAATCTAGCAAAAAATATAAGCATTTAAAACACGAGTTAACAAATTCACATATATTTCAATATACATACAATGATAAAAAGAAAATGATTATATTATATAAGTATTTAATATTAATTATCTAAACTTTTAAACGGATAGTTATATTGGATTCTACTCAGAAAGGCATGCTTTTCCCATGTCGGACCAATTTGCAGCCTCTATAAAAATCTGGGTGGACCGGAATTAAACATTCCGGAATGTTCGCGGTGCAATGTTGGTGACGGTTGTCCTTGTCGGAGGATTTCAAAAGGTGAATTTGAACGATGTCTGAAATGGTGATAGTTGTTTTGAGGCAGTTGCTGAAAATAATACCATTATTTACATTTACAATTAAAAGCTACGAAAAATCTACCTGAATATTACGTAAAGTAACACTGCTTGTTGCAGTACCTACGACATGAGGACTCGGACCATCGCCTAAATCCAATTGCAAGCTTTCTGGTACCTCGTTATTAATAATTGAAGCGCGAGTGCTTGTGGAAATACACCCAGATCCACTATTTGTCAAATGAAGTTGGCCCAATGATGCAGTAGCCATAGCTACATCCGGCATCACTTCGGAAAGATGACTGTTACCGGAATCTAACGCAGATGCTCCACCCTCAGCTTCCACGTCTGACCCCAGGCAGAAATCTCCTTCAGTTATCAAGGCTGGCAAATCGTTGCGATGCTGACTGGAATTTGAGAGTCGTGCGTAACTGTACTGTGCTGCAGGACCAGAGCTACATGCCAAAAAATTAGCTGCACCTATAATTCCATTTGATTGAAGTCTTGGAAAAGTAAGATTACGATTGTTACATGGGTGGACCACCTCAGTATTATATGAAGACAGTGATGATGCCATGGTAGCTGTCGATAAAAATGGAGATGCAGCGTTTGTGAATTGTTGAATTGAACCATGAGCAGCTGGCGAAGGAGGGGGACTCTGGTTAACATCTTCAAGTGCACTAACTTCATTTTGGGCAGATGATGGTGTACTAGTTGCTTCCGTAGCAATGTCATTAAATCCTTTATTGACTTGGAGGGAGTTTCCCAATATATCAGATACTTCATCGGGAAGATTAAACTCTCTAACAACTCGAAGTCTAATTTGCCTGTCGATTTCATTTTTGGATGAAAGAGGGAGCAGCAATGCACGTTGGCACATTGGTGATTGACGCAATTTATGTTCACGCTTCCGCATAGCTAATAACGTTTGGGTGTCCGGTGGCGGTATTGCAACTGCTCCCCCAAAAAAACCAAAATTTTCTTCATCATTGTTTCTTTCTGACCCAATACCCCGGTTCGAGGAAGAATTTAAATGTGATACCATATACAATGTGTCTGGAATATTTGTAGGATGCCTAGTCGTGCGCATTCGTAATAGTTCTACATGATTGTGCGTTGGCATTCGATCTTCTAAAAGTGTTTTTACTTCTTCAAAATATGGCATAAATAAACGCGGCCTAACATACAGTCCCTGGTTTTTGCCTCCACGAATCCAAGCGTTAATACGTAGATTTTCTCTTTCATCTCCAATCATATGTGATGGAGGTGTACTTACGAGACCTCTTCGAATAGCTTGACATAAAACGTCACAATGAGGAGGTAAGACATGGTCCATCCGCACTAAAGGTAGTAGTTCTGAAAGAATTTCTCTTAGTTCTATATCACTTATGTCGCGTTTCTTTACGCCTTTGCGCGTTACTGAGTGAGCTGTATGTGACAACAAATTTGGTTCTCTATCTTCCATACGACGTATAAGCTCTTGCTCGCCCCATTTTAAAACTGCTTGTAAAATCTCTAACTCCGACGCTTGTAAGAAGTTACTATGCAATACGTGTTTTAACTGTGATTTATCTAATTGATGCAGAACTGGCGAGGCACTAACAGCCGCAAATTCTTCGCGCAAATACTGACAAGCTTGTCGAAAAACCCATGCAGAACCATAAGGCTGGCAGCCCCACCTTAAAATTGTGGGCAAAGTGTCTAAAGATAACCATTCTAAAATCAAATCCTCACATCCTTGAGCTAAAATATCAAGTTCCAAAAAACGTCCGATCTGATATAGCTCCATAGCTTCCTCCAGAGTTGTTGGACGCACTCGGCCAGTGTTGGTTAAAGCATGGACTTCTCCAAGGGAGCCCGTTGTTGTACTTGATCCAACACCACGCAAGATCAATGTCAAATCTACTGTGTCTAAATAAATAGCTTGTAGCAATACACGTGCATATCTTTTCGGAATTACAGATTCGTCTAACACAATACGAGTCGGAACGTGTAAAGATCGTTCAACATACTCATCTATCTTACGTGTACGTCGTGCAATTAAATTACGGAAAAATGGTGACCGCGCGCTTAATATTGCTTTATGACAAGGAAGTTCGATTTTAGGACGAAATCCATACTCCGAGGATCCTGAGTCTTGTCTTAAATGATCGTTTGTTCCATCTGCTGTGAACACTAGCGCAGCATCTGCGTAGTCACCTGTTTCCAACAAATATCGTAAATCATGTTCCAGAGGGTTCGGAGTGCCAAAATGTTCACCCAGCTGACACAACACGCTTATGTCAACATTTGGATTATGAGAACATAGGTCACCAGTGTACAGGTAACGTAATAATGAAGAAAACATTTGAACATCAATAGGCGACGATGGGAGTTCAAGGCATACACGCGCTCCGAATCCTGGACATCCAATAAGTAAGTCTCGAAAATATGCACAACGGGCCGATAATATTGAACGATGAACAGGAAAGACTGCTCCACGAAAAACAAGATCACAATCTGCACACAAATTTTGGTCATAAAGAGCTGCTAAGTCTTGTTTGTATGTCGCTGCAGGTGGTCGAGCCAGTTCCGCTTGTACCTAAAATTAAAAAAATTATGTAATGTCACATATAAACTATTATAATTATATTGCTAACCGACAAGTCCCTCAGAGCTGACAAAGCTTCAAACTCTTCGCAAAGTGCAGCCAATTCCAATGGTGTCCAATCAGATACAAAATCTCTTAAAACTCGAGCATGATCGCAAGCTTTAGACGAACGGCGCCGTCGAATTAATTTACGTTTTAGTGTAGCAAACCCTGTAGTACGTTTTCGTCTTTGCTCACGATGGAATTGAGCACTACATATTATATTATCAGGATTTTCTCTCATACTTCCGTTTGAAACCCTAACACCTCCACTTGCCACATCTTCAGAACCTGAAGTTACCATTCCTGTCATGCTGATAGGCATAACAACAGAAAAGTTTCCATTAGAGTTGCCCGTATTATTGTTCACGCTTCCTGATGATGCGACGTTAGAACAACTATTGCTAGAGGTGTTGGCTCCCATTGTATTCAATAAAGTCTTTAAAAGCCATAAACAGAATAGGATACAGTATTTACTTTTCACCTTTATTTTTATTCAGGGCATTCGAACAGTAAGTCACACTTGCCCATACTCATGCTTTTTTTCTTTTAATAACATTTTAAACGTTGTATCTGGAAAAAAAAATAAATTTAAAAAGGCAATATAATAATAATAGGAAAGAAAAACTGAATATAAGTTAATAAACCCTAGCAGTAGATATCGGATAAATACGAAAAATATCGGTTATAATTATCCGATTATTATGCAAATTTTATTATAAAACTTATTAGAATACAAAATTTAAAAAAAGTCCCAAGCTTCTATCTTCAAAAATACCAAAGTCGGTATTTAAACCAAATACCACTTCCGAGCCTTCAGTTATATGGCAAATTTATTAGAAATGTGGTAGGTTATAGTGACCTTAATGACATATCCGACCGAGTATATACACAAAATACTCGTATATATAGGAGTATTCTTAATCAGGATCCCCTCCCAAGTCGAGATAAGTATGTCAAAACAAGAAAGCAAAGCCCGTGCAGTTAAAGCCGGAATATATCGCAAACATCGGATATAGTTGGCCGATTCTTATGATTACATCATAATAAAACCAATTAATTACAATAAAAAATATAAAACAAGAAACGAAAGCTAAGTTTATATACCCTTGCAGTTAAAACCGGATATATATCGCAAACATCGGATATAGATGGCCGATCCTTATGGGAATAGGAATATATAACCCAATTTATTACAATACAAAATCTAAAAAAAGTCCCAAACTTCTATCTTCAAAAATACGAAAGTTGATATTTCTACCAAATACCATTTCCGATCGTTCAGGTATATGTAAGCTATGGGATATAGTCGGCCGATCCTAATGAAATTTGGTAGGTTGGATCAACTGACCAAAAATAGAATCTGTATTAAATTCCAGCTTTCTATCTTCAAAAACACGAAAGTTTGGTCATTTCCGATCGTTCAGTTATATGGCAGCTATAGGATATAGTCGGCCGATCCTTATGAAATTCGGCATGACGTAATGTTTTGCCAAAAATAGCTCTCGTCCGTTGCACACTTTTGGACAAAATGTGCGTTCCTCCCTCACCAACAAGCTCGACGAAAAAAGACCGTTTTGGGCCCTGATGTCCCATCTATGTACTTTATAGTCTTTGATACTATGATAAATATATATATATATATTATATTATATATATATAATATATTTAGGCAGTTTTCAGCTCATTTTAATGGGCTTTCGAAAGAAAGACTACTTTTCGAAGGAAATAAAAAGATTCTTGGAATTGTAGTATCGATTTGAAAGAAGAGTGTTTGAAGAAGAAAACCAATTTTGGCCAAAAAACGTTTTTGATTTTCATTTTAACTCATGGAGTTTCAAGACATTAGCTGCACCCGTTTTGTGAAATATCCAAATCGGATTAATTGATGCTTACTTTGGACAGAAGAGAATTTATAATGAAGAAGAATCATAATATAATTTAAGCACATAAGTACACGAGAGTTTCTAAAGCAAGTAAAGTGTAACGGCCCGTGAGCTTTTTGAGAGACTGTTATAGCCCGAACGAGGCGAGAGTATACATCTTTCAAAAAGGATGATTTTAAAAAGTATGAAGGTATATAAAAAATCCCAAAAAGTTAAGTTAATGCATGTACTCAAAAAAAGAGTGATAAACTTGACAACTGCTTTAGTCTAGTAAGGGCTTTTGTCAAAAGTTGTGGGGCTGTCATTTAATTTTTAGGAATGTTAATGCTACATCCAAGATAAAGTTCGCGTTAAATAAAAAAATGTAATTTGTTATGTTATTATTATTTTGAAACAAATAGTAGGCTGTGGTGTTTACTTTTACGAAGTGAAGTGAAGACATTTTACGAAGTGGAACATACATACATGCATTAAGATTGAGAATCAGCATTATTTTCGTTTTTGAGATAGCCGCAGCATTCTGAATCGTGACTTACCGAACACCAATTACATATTATTGGCCGAACCTTATGAAATTTGGTTCCGATCAGTTGTCGAAAAATAAATATAACACAAAAGTTTTGGCATTTCCGATCAATAAGGTATGTTGCAGCTTAAGGATTAAGCCGACCGATCTCAGCCGTTTCGACTTATATACTGAGTGCAAAAAATAGAAGGTAACCCTCGAAGTCGATAGCTTTCAAAACAGTGGTCGGCACCCCAATACATTGATAGGATTTTAACGCATTCGTATTAGTAACGAATAGCAGAAAGTAGGCTGTGAGCATGACGTTTCACACATTTAACCTGTGTGTGTGTGGCAGAGCTTTGGCAGAGAAATTTCCTATGCCCTCGGCATAAAGCAGTGGGGGGGCAAAACTAACACATGTTCAAAATTTGAGTGTGTGCGTAGCAGACAAAAACAATATGAGCAGAGAATTCACTGAGCGAAAAAAACGTAATTTTTTATTTCATTTTTCGTTAATTCAAAAGTTGGAATGGGCACTAAAATTGAGTATTTTATTTAAAAAAAAAAAAAGCTTTGCTAGCAACATTTCTTAAATTCTATAACATTTCTATCTATATTCTCCATGAAGAAAACTTTTTACAACCCAACTTCTGAGAAAATTTTTCTCAGTGGAAAAATTTTGATTAATAGTTTGGGCTGTCAAATGAATCAAAATGAGAGCAAATGAGAGCTTCTAAAAAAAATTTGAGAGTGCTCACTATTAGAAATACAATTGGCAGCACTACCCGATATATATCGGGAGCTTTGTTATTTTTATAAGTATCCTCTAAGGCCTCTTCTTCTGTTTCTGTCACCTCTATTGCCAACAACCTTGTTCTACAACACCTTCATTATAATAAATAAATAGAACTATTGCTCAGCCTAAAATACAACAGGTTATGGGCCCAGCACGCTTCCACTGCGCCAGAGAATAGTTCAAAGAAGGATAGTTAACAAATAGTGAGTTCAAATGGCAAAATTCAATTTGTGGTGAAATTGCCGGCACACTCACATATACATCACGTGTGCATGTAAAAGTCTTATTGGCAACAAAGGAAAGAAGCGTGTTCGTTGCTTGTGTAGCTACGTGAAATGTTAGCTTGTGTAGCATAACTAAACGCAGATCAAAAAGCAAAATGAGTATTGCTAGTATACGCATAGAGCCTTTGGGCAAAGACAATTTCGACACCTGGAAAATACAAATGCAGGCCCTTTTGATAAAAAATGACTCGTGGAAATAAGTCAACGGGACTCTTTTAAAACCCGAAGATAATTTCGCACAACGGATAAACGAAGATGCAAAGGCTAAGTCCGATCTCATTTTGGCCATGTCAACATCGGAACTTAGGCATACGAAGAACTGCGAAACTGCAAATTATATATGGGAGATACAGGGCCAGCTCGTAAAGCAGCACTGTTGAAATCGCTGATCTTACTGAAAATGAATGCAGGCGGAGATATGAGAAGCCACATAGATAAGTTTTCCGATTTAGTTGACAAAATAAACGAAGTTAATCTGCTGAATATTGTCGATCTGTTAACCATCTTGCTACCATACAGTATACCAGAGGAGTACGAACAGTTTCGAATTGCGATTGAAACTCAGGAAAACTTAATATCAACAGAAGCACTAAAAATTAAGTTACTAGACGAATACGAGGCAAGAAACAGAAATCCAAGCGAGTCGACGCCTGGAGCATTATTGGTGCACAAGAAGTATAATCCCAGCAAGCCGAAACAACCAAGCACCAATCAAAAATTTAAGTTTAAATGTTACAGCTGTGGAAAAGTCGGTCACCGTGCAGCTGAGTGCAGATCAAAGCCAATGAAGAACCTGAGCGAAAGCATGTACATCAACATAGCAAATTATACAAACATTTATTGCAGTAACTGGTGTCTAGACTCTGGAGGAACGTCACACATGTGCTCACAGAAAAATATGTTCGAGGAAGGAAGTGAAGGTAGAACGAGACGGACGTGGTCGTGCCGCGTCCCGCTTTTCGCGCTGTTTCCCGGCCCCGCGGGGGGTAAAAAACAAGTCGGTGTACCCCTAGGCACATAACGTGGCTCACCTGGGATGCAGGAACGAAGGGTTCCCCGTGGCTCCGTTTTCCCGGCTTGCTGGCCCCGTAGCACTAATCTGACGTCGCTGGACAGGGGGGGGGTAAGCAGGGTAAGCTTTCACCCTCTCTTTTGGTGGCATCGCTTTTCCCGCGTTGCAAATTCGCCCAATTTGGGTTGTGCTGGTCAGTGATGCGGATCGCAGTACCAGCTGATCGCAGCTGACCGGCAGTGTGACCAGCCCTGATCGAAACGGAGGTACCTGAAGAGGGCGCCACTTGGCGCCGTATCGTCGCTGCTAACGCCACCCACAGAGGGCGGCACCAAGAGAAATTTCTATAGTGCTCTTATGAGGGCGGGCGAGATCTTAGGAGCGGTGCACAAGGTCACGGACCCGACCATAGTCCAACCCCTCCGCCGCGGCGGTGCACTCTGGAAACGAGGCCCTGGCGACCGAGCAGGGGCGGTATATCCCCCATCGTAGCCCTGATGATCACGCCCACCCTCCCCCTTCTTCCCACTACAAATCCTCGTAGCGTCTGTCCCATAATGGACGGCTACGGGGTCTGCGTCTGAGCCATAGTGGCCGGCAGCGAACCCCAACCTGGCAGAAGGTATAAAATGCAAACCTGGCAGTAAGTATAAAAAGCACAACTGGAAGAATGATGGTTAACAACATAAATACTCCAGGTGGCAACCACTCAAGTGGAAATCCACCCGTGGGGAAACCCACGGTCGGGGCACGGATTCTGGAGGCCCCAAACACCATTCAACCCACGACTGACGAGGCGGTGGCTAGCTTGGCCGCCCCGGCAGGAAGAGCGACAAGCCAACAAAGTGCGGAGCAATCCTCAGCGTTTCTGAGCAGCTCCAAGATCCTGCGGTCACCCATTCTGCAGGCAACGCGGAGCACAGCAATGCCAACAGGCGGTGTTCCCGCGGGTGAAGACAAGGAGACCCCAAAAAGGACGAGGGAATAATCCAGTCCATCAGAGCCCCAGAGATCGACTCCAGCCAAGAGGACGAGAGCGACAACAGAGCAGCCTTGCTCCAGCATGCTGGCGGAGTTAGAGGCGATA